TACAACTCAGAATTGGTTGGCTTAAGTCATTACGAGTTTTCGAAAGATTTCATACACACGAGTCGGGAGGGCACAAGCAAGCTAGGAGGACTAAAAATTCTATGGCGATTTGGTTAGTTTTTTATATAGTCTCATGCATGCATTATAAAATATTTATTCTATGTATTGTGGTTAATCAGAGATGATCTTTGATTAGGTCTTTTGGGATTTCTAAATTTAATCATTTGCATATGATTGTACAGTATGATGATTTGGTATCACCGTTTTCTATACTTTAGTTTATGCAGAGATAATTGGTACAAGATAGAGAAAGGTGAAGAGAGAGTCGACCCCGGAGGCAGTTTAGGAACCAATTAAAAACTGACACATTCGACAAGATGTACATGTACACTAGTGGACCAGAAATTCGAAATTATGGATGTGTCTATCAATTTATTTGACCCTTCATAAATTTGATACATGCAATGTTCTTGTGGTCCAACACATTACTCCTTCCTTATTCTTCTTCATTCATTGGTTTGAACAAGTAAATTCATCACTTTGAGAACTAGTTAGATGTAACTTGAACTTCAATCCAAAAAAGTTCACCACTCTAAAGAACAAAAAATTTACTTTTAGTTATGAACTTATTAAGTGTTCATAATTTACGATTACTAAATCTGATTTTGGTTAAATCCCCTACCAACATCTAGATCAGAGCCGTTATTCTAATGGGAAAAAAACTGGTTAATCTTAACCGAGCTGGTTTTGAAAGATTAAACCAGAACTCGTGGCTTGGCTTCAACAAAGAAATGCAAAACTGATGGGTCATAGAAACGTGAAAAGTCATAACATATTTGGGGTCAGAATCAGAATAGTACAAACTAATTAATTTAGGTTAAGAGAATGTCCAAATCCCGACAGTGTGCACGAGGGGTTTAGTTGGATCCAACTTGGCTTCTTTATTGCTCATTTAATGATACGTGGACTACACATTTCCTCCATTTAAACCACTAATCGT